GGTACAGCCTGCTCTGAGCATCGTTATTGCACATGCAGACCATGCAAATAAAACGTGTGAAGTTTAAAGCATGCGTGCAACGCGTGCATCCTGAGCGCAAGCTGTACCAGTGGTCAATAAGAATAAAGATCAGATATGCTGTTCTAAATGGACGTCGGGAACGGGATATTGTTAGACCGCCCGCTCCCGTTCAAATTACACCAGATTTACCGACCTCTACCGCGTTTTATTAGGGAATTTAATCCCGCGGCGCAAAAAATCTGGTCAGGTCCCACGGTTCCCACGGGAGAGCCGTGGGAATGCAGACCTCTAGTTCGTAGTGATGTCTTGGGAAGCCGATGGTTGGGTGTTGGCTGAAGATGCGGAGTTGTGGCTGGTTAAAGTTTTGAAGTGGTCACAGACTCGAGGTGAACTCGGAGACACGGCGTTGCGGCAACATTTAACTCAGAACACGAAACTCTCAACGGAAAATAAAATAAATGAAAGTAAAATAAACAAAAGAGTAAAGTTTGACGAGACTAGGTGGCATTTCTCCTCATGGTTTTAGAGGAGCAGCTGGCGTGTAAGCCAGAGCACGCTCAAAGAACGCTAAAAAGAAGTGGTGGCAAAAAGCATGGCTAAAAGCCAAAGCAAAAGCGATGACTAAAAGCATAATTTGATGGTGTCCTGAGTATTTAAACTGGGCTGTTGGACACATCCCAAATGTTGTCTTGACCAGTTAAAAATTGTCTTTGCTCAGGGTGTTGCTATGTTTCTCCTCTCAATACATAAATCAACATGTTATCTTATCAGTCACATGATCCGAATTTTTTCGCTCTTGCAGAGTATAATTTGAACATGATTTCTATAACCAGAATATAATATATTTTACAAAGTATTGAATGATAGAAACGTTTAAATCATGAATTTTCAAACTCATACATACCCAACATGAATATAATCCTATAAACTATTCAATAGTTATTAAAAAGATATACACAATAAGTGATTAGAACATGATAGTCAAATGTGTGGGTTACATACATGATATAGAGTTATGCATAGAAGTGAAAGTTGCTCATAAGTCCTTTTAGCATCCTTTTGGTCCATATATACATGTAAAGGCAGTCTCTCTGCCACTCTGTGACGTGAGCTGTGCTTTGTGAGGAACAAAAAGGTTAAAAGGTCTCATAAGGAATTTCAGTCTGGTTCTTGTCCTGGGTGGGGGGAAACCACCCAACAAAGTCTCTACTAATGATTTCCCTCATGTGATGGTCATGATGCTGTCTCTTCAATCATTAATCTTGGGTTTCTTGCCCCAAAATTGACAATCTCCTTCCTGAGTTGAAATTATCAATGTGTTCTTTTGTGTTAAAGGGGTCCTATTATGCTCTTTTACATAGTCTTGATTTTGTTTTGGGGGTGTACTAGAACATGCTCTCATGCTTGGTGGTTCGAAAAACGCATTATTTTTCACATAATTTACATTATTAAAATACCTTTCTCCACAGCCTGGCACAAACGGCTCGATTAGTTCCGGCTTTGATGAAGGTCCGCCTTCCGAAAAACAAAATGTGTTGTGATTGGTTAGCTGTCCCAGTGCATTGTGATTGGCAAACAGCTTAGACGGTGTTTCAGTACTGCCACGCCCCTTGCTCCGTCTTTCAACAAAAACTTTTAAAAGTGAAAAAGCATAATAGGACCCCTTTAATATTGAAAGCTGTTTGAAGCTGCTAGTTCATTAGGCTCACTTCAGACTCGTGGCGCCAGGATCTGATTTACGAACATCCTGTTGTCTTGGGCCTCTTTGTGGAATTCAGCTCTTTGGGTTGTTCAACACCAATCTGATCAAATCTTAAATTGTCTGATTTGCTCTGATACCCTACACCAAATAAATTATTGCCTACTTCACTCCTAATTATTCTTTCAAGTGCAGCTTTATTTGTCAAATCTTTCTGAGCTAAAATCGACCGTTTAGCACGTTGAGTTAATGAGGTGTCTGCGAAGATCTCTGTAGCATCCCCTCCATTAAGCAAACACCACACCTGTCCACATGTTATGCCGGGAGCATATTCACTGTCCCATAAATATCTTCTGTCTAAAGTAGTTTCTCTTTTTCTACTCTTAGCATGTGTGGGTCTGTACGATCCTTTACCTAGCCGGAATGTTTCATAAGTATTACCCAGTTGTAACTTGGGAAAGGGGTTTTCTACCTGATCTTTCTTTCCTTTAGAAGTTCCTGTCTACTTTAAAACTGGCCATTCAGGATATGAATCATATTCTGAAGTCTCGGCTCTGGGATCTGTTGATCCCTGTCTCGTACCTGCTCCCTGATCTGACCTCCCTTCTCCAGCCGCTTCGTCTTGGTTCACTCTTTGTGTTATATTTTTTAACACTGTGGCATGTGGATGACAGATTATCCATGTTTCAGGCCAGTCAGTTCGGTCATTTTTTCTTAATAATGTTGTCATGAGAGCTGCTCCCATTTTGATTTCATTAAATCCAAAAATCCCTTCTGATATTATTGGTATAGCCACTGTGCGATATTTATTGTCTCTGGCTAGCGCACATATTTTATCTACCAGAACGTCTACTGTAAGCATCGCTGTTAAATCTTCTTGAAGATCACCATTTCTGCCCTTTTCGTGTCCGATCGCATGGATTACTGGTTTTCCATTTGGCCCTCCTATTTTCTGTAAGATTACATTCCCCGTTCCAAAGGGATTCTTTCTACACTTTATTAGTCTATTTGACTCTTCCTGGAACTTCTGTCCCGCTCGCTTTATAAAGTCCCCGGCTACTCCAGCCCCGTGTTGGAGATTTGTATTAACCGCTTTCACTAAAACATAAGATTCCTCTTCTAATTCCAAGCGTCCTTCTGTTAGAATAATTAAACTCTTTCCCTTTCCAAAATATATCCTAAGTGGTTCTTCGTCCTCTGACGAGAACTCATAATTTGGGCTTTCGGGGTTATCAGGCGGTGGAGCACTAAGATCTAGGGTGCGTTTGTTTCCCTCTCAGCGAGGAACAAAACTAGGAGCTAAGGACCCTCTTTTGGATCCTTCTCCTGCTTCGACTTCATCTAGACTTCATCATCATCCGACTTCAACTTTTCGTGGGAATATTTCAAAACTCACCCCCAGATTCGTCAAAGACTCTCACTTTTGGGGATCCATCCCTGACTCCCTTACTGGAGTAAATAAAGGTCGGGACTTCTTCTCCGTCCCGTGGTTCTAATATTCACTACAGAGGCAATCATTCGGATTTCTCCCCATGGGATCTGACTGGACCCACATCTACTCTGTGTGGGACTAATCCAGTCCAATTTTCCGTCTAAATCCTGCAAAACAAGGTCAGTCATGGCCATTTGCCCCATCATGATTCACCTTCAATTTAGTTGGAAATAGGTTTCTACTCTGACAAGACTCACTTCCTGAGTCCTCTGTCTCTTCTACAGGTCCTTTCAAGCCTGTGCGCGCATTTACACAAGTTCCTCTGGATTATTTCTGTGGCTGTGGTCTGTGAGGACTTACTGTTTCTCGCTCACTATTATCCCTGAATTTTCTTCCTTAATATTCAAGCCCCAATCGTTGGTCGCCATGTTGTATTTATTAACCATCGGAATATCTGGATCCTCTAATTTATATCTCTACCATCCCAAAAGCCAATTCCAAATCAGTAGATTTGCCCTTACCTCTTAGATTGGGAGATTGCGTCAGCGGCTTCAGAAATCCTACAACGGTGTCCGTGCTACCTCAGTCGGGTCCGGACAGCTTGGGGCTCAACAGAAGTCTTTTTCAGGTTCAGAAAATAGGTTACTAATAACAAATCACTCCGAGTCTTGTTTTAAGAGAGGTTTAAACGCATCACCATTTGAAATGGTCTCGCTTTATTAAAAACAAAAACTCATAAGCAATAAGCAAAAGTAAAAGCGAGTAAAGTCTTCACCCGAGGTGCGGCAAAGCAATTCTAACAAAAGCATCTCATTATATAGTAGGAGACGTTTACAAAATGTATCCTTAGTAAAGCATTCATCAAATCACACCCTTATTGGATACACACATACACACACAACCTCCAAACTATATGGGGGGGGGGGTCGTCATTGTTATGATTACCTAAACACAAAACCTTTATCCTACTTACAGCTGCACATTTCTTCAGGTTATAATAGCAACAACTTTTGAAGGCGTAAGCGAAGCACACACACTTATCAGCATTTTTCCACCTTAACAGTTGTTAACCAAGATAGCGACACCTGCTAGCTATGTCGCTTTGAAACAGCGCTGACTTTCTGAAGTTTAAGAAGGTCAACCTCGTTTGCCAAAGTCCTCATTTCTAAATTAAAATTATTAACTTCAATTAATTGTTTCACCAATTTCATTAATCGCTTATTTATACTCTCATATTGACGAATTAACCGAATCAGATCTTTAGCTGTGGAGATGAGTTCCCTCTTCTCCCGGTCTCTGTCGTCTTCTTTTTGACGGCCTTGTCGTGTCTTCGCTGTAAGTATTCTACAAGCAGATCATCGAAAGCTATTTCCAGTTCACATATTTTATTCAGATTTCTTATGTGTGGGGATTGGCCAGGAGGTTGAATATCAAATTCCATTACAAAAGCTATTCAGGGGACTGCCCCTGCCTTTCTATGCAGTTTAGTTGCCTCTTATACTCCAGCTCGTCTTTTGCGCTCTTCTGGGTCACATATCCTTCAGCAGCCTATATATAAATTAAACTCCATGGACGGTGCTTTTTCTGTTTCAGCTCCACGACTGTGGAATGCTCTACCATCAGGAATTAGAGATTCTCCAACCTTGGACTAGCTGTTTTAAGAAATCTTTAAAGACTCATCTTTTAAAGCGGCTTATTAACTGAGTGCATTTAATTTGTTTTCTTTTGTGTTGTTTATTGTTGTAAACTATTATGTTTTGTTGTTGTAGTGCTTTGGGTTGAAGAAAAGCACATGAAAAATAGAATGTTTTATTTTTATTATTATTATTATGTGTGTGTGTTTCCTCTGCTCATATTTTAATATTCATTATTCTGAATTGTGCGTTTGCACATTTGTGTTTTATCGATTTCTTCCAACATTATGAGGATATTTTTAAACAATGTTGTAGTGCTAACCTTTTGAGAACATTATAAAACGTTACTGCATTGAACAAACATTCTGTTAATGTTACTGGAAGAATATTTGTTCATAAATTTGAGAAAACTTTGCCAGAATGTTAGCTAAAGTAATGAGAATGTTCCCTGTTAACTGGGCAGTTCTCTTCTGGCCAACAAATGAACATGGTGTCAGTATCAGCTTTTCCACTGTCAGGCCAGTGTGAGCCAGGGCTTTCATTGGGCTAGGAAGGGGTTAATAGCCTTGAACCTGTAGCCCAGAGTCCTAAATGACACTGCGTTTCCACCATCAGGCCAGAAGCTCCACAGTGCTTCACTAAAACTTAAAATGCCTCCCTGAAACCCAACCCCGTCAGTTCACCAACTAAGAGCAGTTTATCAGACTGGAAAATAACAAGATTGTAAAATGAACATGATAAGCTGTTGTTTGTTTGCATTTCCTGTTTTTTACTTAACGATTTAAAATCCAAGCATCAATTTTTTACCACAGTTTTACAATAAACAGTGGTACATTAATAATAATTAATTTGTGTCAGGACTGCACATTAATCATGCAGTAATAAAGTGGGATTTACCATTATTTCACAATAAAAAAGAAGACATGCGTACTTCGTACAGTCGCATCTGTTTCTGTTTATTTCACAGGACAGCACAAAACAACAAGCCCCAGTGTTGTTTTGCTGTCCTGTGAAATATTATCAATGTTAATCCGAAAGCATGCACATTATACAGAAAATTATCATATGTTTACATCCTATTTCCTTGTAAGAAAAAAAAAAGAGATAATTTATATAATTTTACCACCAAATTACACAGTCTGGGAAGCTTTGTGCAT